ATGGCATTTCACTTGTTGTAACAGCAATTCCTTGATGCTAAACACATCTACGTTTCTGAAAGCCTTTCGTAACTCCTCGTTAAATGAATACATCGTTAAGTGAGGACCAGCTGTACTACCGTCTACCATCCAAAAAGTGAGGACCAGCTGTACTACCGTCTACCATCCAAAAAGTTTTTTTTTCATCATCTGGACATTTTTCAGAGCAATACATCGTTCAAAATCAGATCATAAATCAAACGGAAATAATGTAAGTGCATTCTTTCTATGCGGCCCGGTACTAATTGACCCATGGACCGGTGCCGGTGGGGTGGGGGTTGGGGACCACTGTTGTAGATGGCAAACTCTTCAAGCATCAAGCTACAATTTCTGTCACTTCCAGCATTGTTTCTAAATGGAAACCAGAATGTGTTATTTTCTTCTCCTGTGGATAATGATCAGTCTAAATGGGAATGGGTTGTGGTTTTTTTTGTGTGTGTTTTTAATGCAGTGGCGCCGACCTGACCGCGTTAGTGAAGGAAGCCTCCGTTAATGCCCTCAGACCTTTCCTGAAGTCCCAGAATTCTACGTCTGCTTATACCTCTGGTAACTTGGCTCCTCATGTTTTCTTCTGAATGGATGAGAATTTAAATGTAGAACATAATGCCGTACAGGGCAGTAGGGAGTAATTGGTGGAATGGTTTCACTTTACTGTTGAAATTCCCTGACCCCAAAGGAATGGTTGGTACTGATCCATCATTGGTAAGTGAAAGTGAATTATTATTTGTCACTGCACACACATTTTCAGTGAGCAAGGGGGGGCAGCTCAAGCGCCTGGGGAATTCTTTCATGCTCGGAGCACCTCAGTGGCAACTTGGCAGCTGATGGACTCGAACCTGAAACTTTGTGGACCCGAGTTCCTTAACCTTCCTTAACCACTTCCCCGTCAATTGGTGGCAATTTTCCAGAGTCCACCAGCTGCCTAGTTACCAGAGGTGTGGACTCGAGTCGCATGACTTTGACTCGAGTCAGACTCGAGTCATCAATTTGATGACTTTAGACTCGACTTGAAAGAGACTTGGAACTCGACTTGGACTTTAACATCAATGACTCGTGACTTCACTTGGACTCGACAAGACTCGATACTTTCTCCCAAACCCGAAGATTATAAAGTAAGTTATTAAGGAGCGCTTTGTATCTGTCATCGCGTACGTCTGTGTGTGTACGTGCTGTCGGCACAACATCCAATCAAATTAGACCCACGTTGTTTTGACGCGATAGCATCGAGCCAATCCAATTGCGGGACAACCGATGTGGAAGACATGTCAAACAACGCTCGGGTGAGAGAAAACGATACCAAAGATTGTGTTGTTCAGATTTAAAAACTACGAGGTGGTCAACAAAAAACGAGTGGCAGTGATCTGTGTAAATATATTATTATATTTTCTTTAAAAAGGACTCGAAAAGGACTCGAAATAGAAACCGCAAGACTTGGGACTTGACTTGACACTTTTCGGTCTTGACTTGGACTCGACTCGTACTTCGCCCGTCTTGACTTGAGACTTGAGTGCAAAGACTTGAGACTTACTTGTGACTTGCAAACCAATGACTTGGTCCCACCTCTGCTAGTTACTATTGAGGTGCCGTTGAGCTTAAGCTTGAGCTGCTCCCATTGGTAAATTCTTACTGGGCAACGTGAACTTTAGTTGTCCGTTAAAAAGGCTGACAGTGTAAATGTGATATAATAGGTCAACCATATTCTATCCTTCCTTCAAGGTTAGTGTCTAGTATTTATTAGACAAGCCTTTTTACAAGTCACAAGTGTTAAAGTTTTATGTGACTGGAAGGTTGATGGAAACACCTTAGTACAGTTAATGTGCTGACTACGATTTAACACATTAAATGAGTCGACAGTTCCTTATTACCCAGGTGAAGTGACCCCAGTGACATCTATTAAGCGCTGGAGGTTTTTAACTGGTAAATAATAAAGTCAAGAACTGCTAAGATCAGGATCTACAAAATGAAGACGAGGCTGAAAAAAATTGCTTCGTGTCATTGATTTCCTTCCTCTTGCATAAGTGGAAGCTGGTTTCGTAATGACTGAGCAGTTCAGGAGGTCTTATCTTGTCCTGTCCTTGAACACCGAATAAGGATTTTACTGCTTACCGTTTGCCTAGTCAACAAATGATAAAATCCAGTTTCTTGTAAAAAGTTAATCCACACTGGGACGCCTTAGTGTTGCTTAACACATTAAAACGCTGGATTTGTGCTCAAACCTGTGATCAAACCGAACAATTTGATCCTCTTATATTAACCATTTTGAAATGGTACTCATTGTGTTAAGTGATAACTTGATCTTAGTTCAGGTGTGGGCAAACAGTTTGACTTGCGGGCCACAATTGTCCTAAAATGAAACAGGGGAAATGAATAGGAGGGGTCTCAAATAGAAACCAGTCAGAGAGCTCTCTAATCTTTTTTTTCTTTTGATTCTTGATCAATCTTGATTCTTTTGTTTGTTCTA